ACCTACATAACGGAAAAAAACAGTAGCCACACCAGCGGTGGGAAGGAAAGCCTGGGAGCGGCTAGGCAAGGAGTCACAGGCAGGATGGGGTGGGAACATGCCAGTGCGGGGGTGCATAGATACAGCAGGGACAGGGAGCAAGAGCCATGCCGGGAACAATCAAAGGATTTTACGCCCACAGAAAGTGAGCCAGTGCCCCTGTTTGCAGAGAGGGTGCAAGAGCTGAGGGAGGCCAGGTATCAGGGTGTTGAGGGCGAGAGGTCTGGGTACCTGTGAGATGGCCCACTGGGCTGCGGCAATAGCTGTGCTGGCCACGGAGGCAGCATTGATGCGACTGCCTTCGTTGGAGGCCATGTCCCTGGGGAAGATGTTAGAGACAACAGTGAGATGGGAGGCCTGAGGTGGGAGGTCCCAAGCGGTGAAGGGACAGAGGTGGGCCCTGACCTCTTAGAGCCCTTGGCAAACTCAACGTTGATGGTCTTGCCGTCGATGGTGAGTGGCGGGGGCGGGGCTTGCAGGATCTGCAGCAGCTGGGCTGCCTCCTGGAGGAGGAGGGGAGGCCAGGACAGAAGGGTCAGGCCCGGGGAGGCCCCCGGCTCCATTGCCCCATTCCCAGCTGGGGCCGCGGCTGGGGGATGGGAAAGGGCCCCTCCTCCCCACCCTGGGGGCCGGGACCCTGGCCCCCCGGCCCCCCCCTGTGCCGCCCTCACCACGATGGTGGAGAGCTGGATGAAGGCGAAGGCTCGGTTCAGCTGGGTCTGCTTGTCCTTGATGACACGCACATTGGAGGACGACAGCACCGCATAGGGCGCTAAGGCCCCCAGGATGGAGTCCATGGTACTGTGCGGGTTCAGGTTGCGTAAAATAATGGCTGTGGGAAGGGGCCTGACATTAGAGGGTGACCTTGCATCCTGTTCCAGCCCTGCTCTGTGGAGGTTACCCCCTAGCTCCCCTCCCCTGGCTTCCATGCCTCGGTGCCTGCTGCTGCCTCTCACCTCTTCCTCCTGGATCAATTTTGCTTGTCAGTCCAAGTTCCAACTCAGTCACTCATCCACTGAGAACCTTCTTGACACCCCTCCAAAGTCAGGTCAGGCAACACTCTTCCCCCCACTGTCCCTGTATCACCTACTTAGTGCCCCACAGCGGAGACCCCCATGAGGACAAAATCCTGGTCATCACCATTTCTCTGGCTCTGGCAAGCCCAGCCCAGACACCCTCAAGCACAGAAGCAGAAGGAAGGAACAAATGACTCACTGTCATTGGCGTTCTCGGAGCTTGGCTCAGAGCCCTGGGATAGGGCTTGAGAGGCCAGCACTCCCTGGGCCTGGTAGGGCTGCGGCAGGGGGAGCAGGCCCTGGCTCAGCTCCCGCCCGCCCAGCGGCAGGGGCTGGTGGGCCCGCCAAAAAAAGGCAGCGTCTGCTGGTCCAGCCTCGTGCCAAGGGGAAGCTTCTGCTCTGCCTCTGTCAGTGTGGAGGTAAGATGGGCTGGTGACCAAGGGGAGGCTCTATGGCTGGTCACCTTGCTCCCCATGCCAACCCCATAGCATCAGTTCCTCACCGTGCCCCCCTACCTCCCCATTATCCCAAGGAGTGTGTATCGGGGGTGGGCCTCACCTGACTTGGGGACGCCACATTTGAAGCACTTCTCACGGCGCTTAAAGTTCTGGACACCACACTGTGAGGTACAGGCCAGGTCATCAGAAGGGGACAGGGCTTTCCACTGCACTCTCCAAACTTGGACCCAGAGACCCCCTCCAGAGAACTCCCGAGAAGAAAGGTCCCAGGGTTAGGGAGGGCAGGGGCCTTCTGAAACTTTTGCTGTCATTCTCAGTCCTGTGAATTTCTCTTTATAAGGTCTCTAATTTGTTCTCAGTTAACACCCCCTCAGCTCAGGGCTCAACAACTCCTCTACCTGCTACTACTGCCACCTCCTCCCCTCCCTTCTGCCCTCTCAACTTCCAGGACTGACCCTATATCCCTTTGGTAGATTCTTCTTCCCAAAACTTGCTTCTCTATTCAACAATCCTCGATGTTTCAACCCTAGAAGCCAGTAGCCTATTGTCAGACACTCATGTTTTCTTTAACTCCAAACTGGGTTGGATCCTGCTACTCCTGAGAAATTTCCCTTGGTGATTCCCACCTCTGGATATGCCCAGCTTCCACCACATTCTATCTCTGCCCCACTGTCAGGTACCACGCATTGCTCTTGCACCAAACCCTGCCCTGTGTGGCCAGGACGTGGCCTCCGCCTTCCTGACCTGGCAAGGAGGTAGATGTAGCGGGGGAGAGGGGGAAGGCCAGTCTACATGGACCATCCACCAACAGGGGCTGGGGAGAGGGCACAGCTCCCTCAGTAAGGTATAGGCAGGAGGGCTGCTCAGAAGCAGGGATGTTCGATCTGGGATGCCCCGAGGTTTAGTTTTCTTTAGTATTGCTGGAAAGGGATTCCTAGCAGATGGAAATATGGGTTTTCTGTAGCTGGCGTAGGAAGGGACAGGGAGAAGCCAAAGCCAATGCTGGGAAGGGAAGATGACGATGCTAGGTAACGAAGCATCTTCCACTTAGGCTGAGAATTGTGAGGGCTTTAAGCAGAGTTGGGGGGCATGGTAGGAGCTGGATTTTAGGAATGTTACAGGTGAGACAGTGGGAGAAAGAGGCAAGAGGCCAGCATACCAGAGAGGGCTCCGCGGCGACTGGGTGAGAGGGCGTGAGGATTGGCATGAGCAGCGGGAATGGCAGGGGAGGGAAGGTG